TCAAACTTTTGTATGATATATGGTAGATTTTAATTTATGCATATGTTCATAAAAAAAACATAGTTTCACGGAAGTGAACATAGTTTCAGATCATAGTTTCACTATCGATTTGGGATTTGAGTATATCCTGTTGAGTGTGTGTGTGTGAGGTCTTTCTTATTAATTTTATGTAAAAATCACCGAAATTAGGTTTATCGAGCTATTGCGAGACAACATGGAGAAGGAAATGCGAAGTAAGACTCTGACAAAAACATCTATTGGATCTTCTGTAGTATGGTTGATAACATATTCGGCAAAAAAGTTAGTTCTATATAACAATTGATTGATTTTGAAAAGGATCCACTACTCTTATATTCCTACGTTCATAATAACTATTGAATTATTAAATGTCAAAGATATTGTGTATACATTTTGAACGGTAGGCTAATCCACTGTAAAACGTATTTTCGTGACAAAATCATCGTTTCCCAGTTTTCAAGGTCACTTAAAGAAATTAATGAATTCTCATCAAAACAATCAATATTTCAATAACAACTTAATTATACTGAATTTTATAATTCACAGATGTTATTGACATGATCATGACGTTATCTTCAATATAAAAATTAAAGTTACATTTAAATTAAAAATTCATTCCCAGCAAGTTACGTATAAGACGTTTATTAAAGTCATATTTTTGAATATATGAAAATATTCAGATACCTAACTTTAGATGTAATTAGCCTGTATTAACGAGAAATAAAATTCTAAAGTTCTACAGCTTCTAAACTTAACACAAATTTATATTCAACAAGATGTAGGTAAACTTTCGCGTGATTGTGTTGCAGACACAACTAACTGTACACATCCACTTGGAACAGAAGTTATTGGAGTACTGTGTCTTATTGACTTAACTTCGCATTATAGAATTGCTAACAATTGTTTGAATTTTATTTATGTCTTATTCAAAATAATGCTTTAAAAATAATGTTTCATTCAAAATAATGCTTCAAAAATAATGGTTTATTCAAAAAAAGCCTTAAGAATAATGGTTTATTCAAAATGATGCTTTAAAAATAATGTTCTATCCAAAATAGTGCTTTAAAAATAAATATTTCATACTAATGAAACGCTTTGTAGATAGCTCAAAGCATTGTTCCGACTGGAAAAAGATGTATTCGTCAGGTAATAGTAAATACATTACAATTTATTATAATTTAACAATAACTATGCTAAATAACCAGAGATACTTACAAAATCAGATTTTCATTCCCAATGCTTTGAGAAAGTTACTTACATCAATTTTACACTACGTTTATTTTACTCTTTATATCAACATAAACAAGTAATTTGGAAAACTGTAATATAAAAATGTTATGCCCTGGAAGATGTTGAACTCTGAGTTCTTGCAATCTCAAAGCTGCGCGATATTACTTTAAAACCCTCGACATTTCAACTTGTTTCCCTCCGAAAACTTTCATTGAGGACATTTTATTGCCGAGTTTTGGAGCGAACCTAATTTTCGACCACGCTGAACCGAGATCGACCGCAGACAACAAAATAAATAACCAGTTTTTCCTTATTTACGTTTTCTGAAACTCTTTGCTCAAGTTCTTTTCTAAACAGAATAACAAAAGACGATAATTTTGCGCGAGCGGAGCCAATCAGCCGGAACATACACCGCTCTCCGAAAGTTTCGGAGCGATTTAATTAAATAATTTAACAATGATAATCCCTTCTACTTCTTTCTTAAATAATTTTAGCCAATTCAGTTTATGAATTAGATTGAACAAGAATCTATTTTGTATCTTCACCACATTCTAGTGGTGACTGTCTTTTATATAAAAAATCATATAGTGAATCTTATATTACTTTCTCCTATAATATACTAGAACAAATTCCATAATTCCGATTATAAATAATTATCTTTATTTTAATTTTAGTAAGAGAAGTTTCTTAGAACAGGTTAAAAGTGATAAACAAAAATATCTTTTTACAATTAATAAGTACAGTATCACAGTTTATTTCAAAGTCATTAAAAATAAAGGTCATCTTTCCGATGTGCAGAAAACATAATCATTTTATTTGATTCAATGGTTTCCAAGCTTTTACATGGTATTGTGTACACGAACAAAAGTCTAAATATTCAATTTATAATATTTAATACACGAGAACATAATATTTCAACGAAATATGTAATGACAAAAGTTGGGGTTACAAAAGTCATTATTTGTCAGTTTATTCATGTGTCATACATGATTGTTGTTTCCATCGATTATGTATCTATCGGTTTCGTTTCGTTTCGGTACGTTTGGAGTGTCTGACAAATGATTGTAATAAAGTATACATTATTACTATAATTATAATTCTCAATAAAAATACCATAATATTGTTAAAGAGAAAGATAAGTTCGATATGAATCCTAATTTAATAAAATAGTGGCCAGGTTGGGTAGTACAACTAAAAATAAGACTTCATCATGATTCATGTGTATTGATTAATATCCTTTTCTTGAAACATGATCTAGTCAAACGATTTTCTTCGTGTCAGTTTTTATGTCCTGGTTGCACGCAAATGAGAACACATAGATAAACAAAACACAACTGTAGATAATGTGTTATCGTAATATGTTATGATAACTTCCTTGATGATGGTGACAATAATGCGTTGTTCTATGTAGGAACAATGATTATATTCGCTGCAATCACCTACAAAGCAATTAAATGCTTCACAAGAATAAAAAGAAGTCGAAGTACATACATATTTAAAATGCATGCTACCAATGTTATCTCCGATGTGTTCTAATTGTAGGAGAAAATGAGTCAACCGAACGAATAGATCGGGACCAGCGTTGACAGTAGGAGCCCCTTGTCCTTCCCCGTCACGCTGACACAACCGCCAGGCGGTCCTTCGCTTCCCCATTCTTCCCACCGAGACTACCTAGCTAGACTACCGGGGTGGTCGTAACTCTTTTCTACTATCACCTTACGTGAAGAATTGGTTCCTGTACGGCTACCTGTTACAGTCCCGGCGAGAAGAGTGGGGGGAAGCGTCAGGCCGCCCGGCGGGGTACATGTTGGCCAGATGGGGAAGGGCAAGGTGGATAAGTGGATAATAAATATCTCAGATTCCTACATAATTATCAACTAATTCACTAATTAAAAAGTGCTCTATTAATGACCTATTTAAGACATTATTACGAGCAATAATAATTTTATATATTACTTACTATTATTAGAAATAACTTATTTCGATTGCAATGAATTGAAAAATACTCGCATAAAATGATTCATTTTAGTTGCTCTTTTCAATGTAATTTATTAAAAATTGTGCACGAAAATAATAAAAACAATTTTATAGATTCGTATTCTGTTGACCGAATAAATTATTACGTCCTGCGTACAATACAGTAGGTACACATATTTTATTTGTAAAATGGATGTAAAGAAGCGGAAAACGGGAAGTGATGTGAACGGGAAGTGCATGCACATGATGCACAAAACGACCGGGTCATTTGTCCACTAGCTTCTCGCAATGTTCGATCTAATGAATCAAACAAGTTTGTTAGGTAGATACTTGTATAAGTGAAATGAAACGATTCGAAGAGGTCAATATGACGAGACCAACAGATTTTCTAATTAACGTCTTTTTTGTAGGTCATTCGAAGGTCATCGATGTTTCTTTAAACATGAGACAAATTTAATGCCGAGTTTTATGCCAAGACAAGTTTAATGACATAGGACACTATGATCTTGAAATGACCTTGAGACCGGAAATTAAAGCAAAATATCATCAACTGTACACTTTACCACACTCTCTCTCTCTTTGATTTTATTAAATAATCAAAATAAAAAAGCTTTCGCAGTTATGTAGAGTGATCTACACCACCCGACCACACCTATCAAAATCGAAGGGAGTGATTTTTATTGAAAACGAAAAAAATTGAAATAGCTAATTCGAGTACGCTATATCAAATAGTGATAGTTGCAACTTTCGATACCGACTGGAAATAGGATTTTCAGACCGAAAATCAGTATTTTTAAACGGAATCTGGTATTTTTTGCTGCATATTCGGATTGTACGCAAACGAATGTAAAAATTTTGTCTCACAAGTTTTTTTCGAAAGTGCATATATCAATCATGAAACGATTATTCAGGCATCAATTTCGCCCAAATATTCGATTCATGTTTATTTATCTGGCCTATCATATCGTTATCGCAGCTAAAGGTTACGTAACCAAAGTACACTGAATTTTATTAATATTCGGACAGCTCCTAAAATGGAATAACTCTTTTAAAGCGGGACTAAACGGCTTGAATTTTTCTTAAATAATAGAAAGACTAGCCTACCAGACAATGTTTAAAATAGTCTTTTACAGTTTTGCTATTACTTGAAAAGGCAAAATAAAATTTAAAAAATTTCGTTTTTTAACTTTTTCATCTAAACCTAGAATGAAAATTCAAAAAACGTCTTTCGTAGATCTTTGTAACTTAAAGTCAAGTTACAAGCGTTGAAAGATTTCAAAAATTGCAGATTTCTGATAGTTATTGACTGAAAGTGTCAAAAGTCGGGACAAAACTATGATTTTCCCGACCTTTAATTGTTTTCAGCTTGTGTCAAGGCCAACCAATTTTGATGAAATTTCCGGCATGTGCATAATTTGGCAAGTTCTACAAAACGCTTTTTTTTCAATTTTCGTTATAGGCTCGTATAAAAAAGTTAAAAAATAAGAGCCTTTTTATTCTGTTCTGTCATTTCAAGCAATAGCAAAATTTATAAAAAAGCATTCTTGTTATTGTCGAGTAGATTAGTCCCTCCATCATAAAAAAAATTCAACATTTTCATAGTAATGGAATACTTTCCTCGCAAGCCTGTGGTATAAGGCAAAAATTAATTTCGCTACCACAATTTGTCCACACTGCATAGTTATTTTTTAAATTATATCAATACGTAACACTTAAAAAAACAAGAAAATAAATGTAAACAATAATTTCTCCTATTTTTTTCATAATGTTTACAGTTTACGAAAAACATACAAGACGAAAAAAGAAAATATCTGAATCTGATATGAATCCACCAAGACAAAATCATAATAAAGGCTATGATTCTGATTTAAGTCCACCTAGAATGTCTAAATCTAAGAACTATGATCCTGATTTAAGTCCACCTAGAAAATCTAAATCTAGGAATGACGATTCTGATTTAAGTCAAACATTAGATGGAAAGAAAGCTGGATTGCAAGATGCAAGGGCATTACGAGAGGAAACAGAAGCCCATAAAAAAAGAGAAGCTGAACACTTTAGCAAGGTATTTATCTATTTTTCTTTTTCTATTTCTATCTGTACGATATATTCTAATTAGCATAAAACGTTCGATTTTAATTTGTTAGCTTAGCAAAAAAGTCACTGGCGTTGATCAGACTGCAATTCTACAAGATTCTAAAACGGGTAGAAAACGTAATTTAGAAGCAGAAGCAGCAGAGGAGCGCGAGAAACAGAACAGACAAACAGAATTGAATGAAAAGTATACTAAGTGGGGGAAGGGGTAAGTAAATCTAATTCGAATTTTAAAGATAGAACTCTATTAAAAGATATAATGTTCATATTAAAAAAAATGATCACTCTTCAGGTTGAAACAAGTCGAAGATCGCGAAGAAAAATTAAAAGACGATCTCTACGAAATGAGTAAGCCACTTGCAAGATATGCAGACGATGCCGATTTGGATAGAAGACTCAGAGATCAAGAAAGAGAAGGCGATCCGATGTTAGAATATATTAAACAGAAGCAGATTGAGGAGGGAAAGAGAAAACCAGGTACAACAAACACATTTTCACATATCTTAATCCTCAGTCAACGGCGTTCAACGTGGAATTCGCGTTTCAAATATTTTAGAAAATTTAACCAAGGAAAACTAGACTTAATAAAATTTGTTTTTGTTTCTCTTTTTATATCCTTTGTAATCCAATTCAAAAACTCTGACTTATTAAATATGCTTGTTATCGATTCAGATCGACCAACTTACGAGGGATCTTTCATGCCAAATCGATTCGGTATCAAACCTGGATACCGTTGGGACGGCGTCGACAGGAGTAATGGCTACGAGAAAAAGTGGTTCGAAGCGCAAAACGCTAAGACGGCTCTTCAAGAAGTAGCCTATGAATGGAGCACTGCTGACATGTAAAATGTATACACTTTCTGTTTGTATACGAATTAGGGTAATAGGAATTCATGAACTCGATTTCGAAGCGTAAAACATTCGTATTTGAGACGGCCTAAAACTGTTCCGGCTGAAGTTGAAGCTCGAACGACCAACGCCAAGCTATTCGACTAACGAAGTTTGCAATTAAGAACTTTTTTAATCCGATACGAGAGTGAAAAACATTTTAAAATCTCACTCTTATACATTACGGCAGTAATGTTGTTATATCAATTACTGAGATCATTTATTCTTAATTATTTCGTGATATTCTAATTTATATTTACTCTGTATTGGTGTTTTTCAATGTGTCCATAGCACATACTGTACTACAAAGTACATAAAAATTCGATACTTCATGTTGATTCGTTTGGCTAAATAACTAGCTTCTGTCGAAGCTATTCTCTTTGGCATTAAACACTATTTATATGTCGCTTCACGGCTTAATGCGAAGCTTAAGTAGTGTCACCGACGTTCTGCTATTAACTCAGGCTAACAGTAAGTGCTTAGTGGAAGAACATTCGTTTAACCTTATCGTCCCATCTTTTACGGCAAATAATTGGAATGTAAACTTTGTACTTGCATCGGCATGATGCTCTATCGTGCCATTAAATAGACGACATAAACATATGTTATTTTTCATACTATTTTCGTTGTATATTAAATTTCGTTAATATATAAATCTACATATTCGTGTGTATAACTACGAAAGATCTTTAATAATATGTTATGGAACAACTGATGAAACGATACAGTCATGAATTCGAAAAATGTTGTGTGATGTAACACCACGTTACATGTGATTATGATTCAATACAATAAGTTCCACTATTATCAGTCAAAAATCACGCATTACTATAACATTTAGTTTCCCAAGCTTCATGAGTTTAGATACTTTAAGATCATTTTATATTTTACGTAACGTCTTGATAAACCTTGTTATTTTTAGACGGAAATATGAACTAGTCGTCTTTATTGCTCGATAGTTTTAATGTATGTAA